AATCCCGAGGGACTGTCTATACTGGTCTTAAAGCGCGCCTTAATGGCCTGGGTCTCTTTTAGATACAATAGGCTTCCCTTGTTTAGTATCTGTCTTGCAGCGACCAACGAGGTGTTCAAACGTTGATTTCTATTTACTGAACTTAGACTCAGAGAGTACGCCCAGCCTATAGTAAAGGCAAAGAGAAGAATTTTCACTTGGATACCGCGGCAGTCTTTCAAAAGAAGAAGACGCTTCACTTGGATGCCCGCTTGGATGCCAGATTTCACTCTTTACCGGGACGACTTCCCACTTCAGCCAACCTCGACTTTCTATATAGAATTTAAGAATTGGAGGAAACAAAGAATTACTACTCGCTGAATACCAAGAGTCAACAAGTGTTCTTCGCTGAGCTCGGTGGTTCGTAGCCTTCATGGCCTTCCCAGCTCTTCTTCCCGATTGTAACTTCCTAAACAGGTTGCCCGGCCCCATCCCACTACCATCAGGATATCGAGATCGAAAGTCACAAGTTTAATTCTCGAAAATGCAGACGATGTGAAGGAGGTTGTATTGAATGATGTGGACTATAATGAGGAGTAAGGAAAGGTACGAAGTGACTCGACTGAAAGGAAAGGGATGAAGTGACAATGAGGTCCTTCTTGCACTCACTCTCGCTCCTTCCGTTCATGCATCACAGGTGTGATGCACTCACTGTAGCTCTTAAGTAACCTGGCTTCTAGTAAATAACCTTCTGAAAGAAAGCATTCCTACCTCTCGCATGCATCTGAGTAGGCTCTAACCCAATCTGTGTCAAGCTAGTTCAATCTTTTGCCTACATTCGTTATAGCGGGCACCACTGCAAGAGACCGGTGAATGGAAGCGAGGGTAAAGAGAATGAAAGAGATATGAAACGTGTATGAGGAGAGGAACGAATATACTCGAACAAAGTGAGAGGTTATCAATATGCTCGACTGAAAGGAGAGGGGGGAATATGTTCGACCGAAGGGCGAAGGGTGACGCTCCGCCTTCGGCTCTAGCGAGTATCGATGAGTTATAGCTCTTATCTTAATAAAATCGATGCCTTGATGCGATCAGAGTTGAAAGCTTTCAGGCAGCAAGGCTGATCACATTATTCATATATACATCTATATAGAAAAGCTTTCTAAGGGCTTGCTACCGCCTATTAGAGTAAGGGGGGCAAACAAAGGAGCAAGTGGAGGCGACCGATACGGGCGATAGAACACTAAAGGGTGCGCGATCTAGCTACGTGATGCTTGAGTGACGGGATGAAAGGTGTAGTTACGTCAGTTCCGACTTCATAGCAAGATACGGATTCAAAGTCCACTAGATCCACTGCTTCGATGCCTTTTGAGATGCCAGTTGTGTGCCCTTATCGGGTATGGCCCCAGTCCCACTGAAAGGGAACAGTCCTTTAGGGAAAGCGCGGTATGGTTTTGCCCAACTTTAGCTGTATTAGCCTACTCAGTAATTCCGAACAACAGAACAAACCAACAACAATAAGACCCTCGTAGAAAGAACAGGAAAAGGAGACCCTGTCAGTCGAGTTACTCCGTACCTTTCGTATCTTTCATCTGAGAACGACAGCGGGAAAGAAGGCCCTAGCTATCGTGCAACAATCTCTTTTGTTGCGGCCTTAGATGATCAATCCTGAACTCCACTATCGGCTTCGTTGCCCCAGCTAACAACCCGGTCGGCTATGAAAGAGATTCAATACTTGTTGAGCTACTTACTTTACGGACGACGATAGATTCCATTTCGCTACCTAAGACTCTATTTTACGTTGGTAGCTTCGGACCTATAACCTGGTCTAATACTGACAAAGACCATTCAGTTATCCGCCGGTTCTTCGGATCCTTGGCAAACCTAGTATACGATGGCCACTTCTTTTTTTAGCGATTGCTAATCCCTTCTCCTTTATGCCGATCTTTTCACTAGCAGTTGTGATTCAATCCATTCCATTTCCACTCCCCTTTTTCATTCGACTGGCTAGAGTAGCGTAGCACATGTCTTCTTACTCTTTTGCTATTGGATAAAGGGTGGTCGTAGATCAGAAGAGCTTGCTTTCTGTAAATGGACAGAAGACCTTGTGAAAGAGACCTCCCTCAACAATAAGGAATTGATAGAGAGGAATGCCCTAGGTCTGGAATGGAACCTTTTGGAGAGGTTAGAATATATTCGACCGAAGGTTTATTATGAGCCCGAAGGGCGAAGGAACGAAGTAGTGAGCCCGAAGGTTTATCATATGTTCGACCGTAGGGAGAAGGTGCGAAGTTGCTCGCATTTGAATTAGAACAAGAAGGAGAGGAACGAATATACTCGAACTTTGTGAGAGGAACGAATATACTCGAACTTTGTGAGAGGAACGAATATACTCGAACTTTGTGAGAGGAACGAATATACTCGAACTTTGTGAGAGGAACGAATATACTCGAACTTTGTGAGAGGAACGAATATACTCGAACTTTGTGAGAGGAGTGAACCCTTTGACACCAAGAGAAAAAAGCTGGCGATGACTTGGTGAAGGTGAGAGAAGGTTCTCGAACCGGGTTCCGCCCGGGGAGCCAACGAGTGAAGTAGAAGAGCGTAACGAGTCTAAGGGCGGGATCAAGCTTGAAAGGAATGGACGGGCGTAGGCAACATAGTGAACGCAGACCCCCTGCTTATAGATATGAGATCAACAATGACTTAAAAAAAAAGACAGATAGATGCCGAGATAAAGTGTTTTACTTCTTTATTGCGTTGCGAAGAAAGATCGAAGACGAAGAATTTCTGACGCACGGGCACTGGATGGAAAAGACAGAGAAGAGAACAACCCACCGGAAGGGCATACCTCAAGGAGCACCAAACTCCCCCGGCAAACATCTATCTGCACGAAGCCAACCTATGGATAGAAAGAAAAAAGAACAAAAAAAAAAAAAGATGCTTGGGGAGTGTGAGATACGCGGACGGGGAGTACACAGCCGAACAAACGCAGGGGCTTCCAGCAGTGATAGCTGAACTAACCAGACTCCCCAGATGGGCCGCCCAAAACCTGGAGCTTACTTTTAAATCGGAAATCAACGTCGGATCCCGGCTATCCGAAAAACGTAGACTGAAGCGGAGGATCACAAAATGCAACACAACAAGGGGCGAACCAAGCGCTTGCGCGAAGGTTTAGAATATGTGAGCCCGAAGGGCGAAGGGCGAAGGAAGAAGCGAATCAATCAGAATAGAGACAGGGAGGGGAGGCGAAAGAGATATTTTCGAGCTTGCAAGCAGCAAGCAACAACGGCTTTTCCGCCGTTGCGCGCTAGCTTGTAGTTTAGGGGTATAGTAGGGGTGCCCTAGAATATTATATTAAATATAAGGTAAGCTTTTTATTTTGGAACCCTAGTTTTGGAGTTTTCCGCAACCACTACTAATAGAAAAAGGGCTTTTTCAGCTGCATCGCACTGCCGCATAAACAATGGATCCGCCGGGCTGGATGAGCAACCATCTCTGGAAAAGAATAGTGAAAAGCCATGTCACTTGGAACGAAACTGGTTGCTTACTTACTTTTAGTAAGACCACTTTGGTAAGCAAAATTAGATTATGATTATATAGGCATGGTTGCTTACAAGACAAAAAAAAAGCTAGCTTCTATATGTTCTTTGCCTTCACATATAGAGGAAGCAACCTTCTATCTGGCCTATATACCAGTAGTGGAGTGGCTTGCTACTTTCAATTAGAAAACTCAAATTGAGCAAGGCAAGGGAGAAAGCAGTTGTCCTCTCTTCTCTGCTCTGGTAACCCGCCGCCGGTCATATAGAGCGCTCCGCCCGCCACCTCATGTTCCAAAGTGAAACGGTTGTTCTTACCCCTCTTTTTCTACATATGCGGGGGCGGGTTTGGCTAGGTAACATAATGGAAATGTATTGGACTGCAAATCCTGGAATGACGGTTCGACCCCGTCCTTGGCCTCGGGGAGTGGCGAGCAGCACGGAACTTTAATTAATCAAATGGCATAAGGGTGCTTTCCTTTGTTAGAAATCCACAGACAACATACTGGAACTTCCAAACCAAAGAAATGCAACATGAGAAGGAGCTTTTTACGTTACGCTTCAAATTTAGTTTTTAGAATACGCCCCATGGTCAATCGAAGGTCCTATTCCAGTAAAACGAAAATCTATCTTACCTTCAATCCATCTTTGTTCAGCTAGCTTATAACAAAATGTTAGACCAATCTCAGGGCTGACACAACCGAATTGGTTGAGGAAAAGGAAAGCCCAGCGACCAAGCGCTCCCGCCCACAAAAGCGGAGACGAAATCGAGGTTATCCTAAGGTTTAGAATATGTGAGCCCGAAGGGCGAAGGGAGAAGGTTTAGAATATGTTCGACCGTAAGGAACGAAGTAGCTCGCATTTTAATTAGAACAAGAAGGAGAGAAATAAGCTCGAAGAAAGTGAGAGGAGAGGTTATCAATATGCTCGACTGAAAGGAGAGGTTATCAATATGCTCGACTGAAAGGAGAGGTTATCAATATGCTCGACTGAAAGGAGAGGGGGAGAGTGAGCCCGAAGGGCGAAAGGAGAAGGAGAAGAGGTTTTTTAAAAAAGAAAGTTTACCACCCTACCCACATATGGACTATGGGGGGGCAGGCGAACGGGAACCCGAACTGATTGACTGGCTGACCCCTTCATACTCGATTCATTAGGGTCGGAGATAGATGAAACCAATCAGAAGTGCAAATCGCGCAAGCGAAGCCGGGAAACAGACCGCAGCACAACGACTAGGACTCGTGTCGGAGGAGTTTTGAGCATGAGCTACCACTCATGCAGCGGCAAGGACCCGCAACTCTCGAAGGGGCCACCAACCGCCCGAATCACTGTAGCAAATCCTCCCTTTACTCAATGGAATGGATAGCGCTTATCCTCTTTCAAAAAAAAATTGAGAAAAGAAAGAGGTCTTTATTGAAGTGAAGAGGCGAAATAGGACTAATGAAAATCCAGGTCTGGGCTTTCGAAAAGATGAAGATGCAAAGGCTAAAGAGAAAGTTTTTTGAACAACCAACCTGACATAAGGATTCTAGCTCGCCCACTTAGAGCAGATGGAGATTCTCGGACGGGGAAAAGCGGCACTCGACATCTATTAAACAACACCAAGAACAAAGCCATACCATGCCCTCGGGAGAAAATAAAGTAGTGATGATTGCCATGAATGCTGCCCTCGAGTACGTGTACAATAAGGTCTTTGCCGATTCCTATCAACATGGTGCACCTTTCAGTAGAGGGGCGTTAAAACGCCGTGGAGACTTTGACCGAAGAAT